AACATTGTTCATTCAGCTGGATCATTTTTGAAAAAAAAATAAAAAGGTTTCCCATTGCTGCCAGGCCTCCATTGGATGAAAATTTAGTGGGTTCTTTTTGCATTCATCATTCATTTACTTTTTACACTCAGGAGTGGTTTTTTTTCTTCAATCAAACCTGGATTATTTTAGCAGCAGACATGCCTGGACAAACAACATTCTCCGGTAACAAAAGCACCCGAGATGTGATCAAAGAAAACGATGAATTGGAAAAGTATCAACAAGGAAAATCGACCTTGAATAAGAAATGCCATGGTTTTATAGTCCACATAGGGATTGAGAGCAAACATGCTGCATTCCTGAATGATTTTGGCATTCTTATTTTTATATCATCATCAAGGATAGATTTGTTTTGAAAAAATAATTGGTAACTGAAAGAATTGGCGCCTTAACGAGGAGAGTGTTCGACTTTAATGTACACGAATCGAGAGCAACCATTCCGCACTATTCCTTACAGTTGATCATGACATGATTTTTTGCACAATGTTATACGTGGTGGGATTTTTGTCGCATAAGAACGTACCTTGTGAAGACGATGACAGTGGTGGCAACGAGGGATACACGGAGTCGACGACGACCAGGATGAAGATGAGGGACACTTTGAGGAATGTGGACTCGACTGCCACAATCATGGTGTGGACTAATGTTATCACAGTATACAGGTAAGTTTCGATGCGAGTCACTCCCAATTAACAACTGAAGAAACACAAGCGAGTCCAAGGAGTGCTTCCTGACGAAAGTCTGTCTTGAATGTGATGAAGTTGAACACCTTTTGAAAGGCAAACAACAAAAAAAAAATGCTGTGTGCACTAGTTTGTGACGATAATGTCCACGTCAACATTGACGATGACATGGATCCCCCGAACTCACCCAAGCAGACGCAATTCGTCCTCGAGTTTTCTAGCTTGCGAAGAAATTTTCGTTGAACTTCACGTGGATTGCATTGTTTTACCTCGGCGAGTCGAAGTAAACCAAAAAATGAGCAAAACGTTGTCAGCATTGTTTTCTTCAAGCGACCTGCGAAAGCAGCAGCAGGGAGGGTGCATTTATTTCTCCAAGGCGGTGAAGAATTTTCTCGATCAACGGCTAATCCACCATGTAACCACCAACGTTGGGATCCAAGAAATTTCTACGCAACAATGCCTCATATGAAATGAACCTTCATTTATTTGGAAACGTAATAATAATGAGATGAATACCTCACAGCCTCCAAGGCAATGAATCTTGTCTCATGCATTGAACCAACATTCCTACCAGAAAAAAATTAGATCCCTATCAACATTGAAAAATTCATATACAATTCTGTAAAATTCTTGTTTTCTTCATCCTCGTTTTGTTCATACTATAGCTACCCCAAGTAATTTTTGAATATATCTTACAAATCAATTTGAAAGAGCAAAACATCTTGTATATAGGGAATCAAACTACTAATATCCTTTTTTTTTTTACTCCAGCAGAAATTTCAAAATGTTATTGCCACTCCTCTTCTGATTTGATCAACCACTTGAAGGAAAATAATTTCTTGTTTTATTCTTTCCCGAGAAGTTTACCAAGTAATCGAACCTCCTGTGAATCACCGGAAGCATGATTTTGACCCTGGTTCAATTTTCCACATTGCAGCTGGTGTTCCTTGTAGTCAACCCCCGGTTAACCTTTTTAGTTGGTTCCAAGCAAAAAACGTTAACTGGAAAAAACGTTAACCGGGGTTGTATTTCTGTTAAGAAATAAGGGAAAAACGTTTATTTGGTTCCACAAAAAATTTTCTTAAGGTAAAAATCAGAAAAAAATTGATCAAAGAGTGTATTTCAACAGCTGAGCTTTATGCACTGCCATTACATTCTTAAAGTAACCACAGTTATTCACTCAATGAAAATCAGAGATTCATTTTCATGAGATCATGACACAAAAAGTTACTCATCAGAGTCACTTGAGTCATTTGCCCTCTTGCAGGGCTGAGATTTGTGACCTGATGGCCCAGGTTGGTCCATTGATGGCCCAGCTTTGTCAGGAGAGAAGAAGCTTTTGATGGATGATTGCTTCTCCCTACTT